TACTTTCAAAACTACCACTACCGCAGAACAACAGAACAATCTGCCGATGGGGAGACAAAATGCAATTGTTTAATATGTCAGCTTCATATGACACCATTCTTTTTATAAATGATTGACTTGATACTAAGATTGTACTCAGTCAGAACTGTAAAACTATATAATAAGAAAGAAATTGTGAGCATTATGGAAAAAAGTCAAATAATTTTTCATTCATGTACATCATACTGCTCATTTGACCTTATGCATAATGATGTCACAAGGCTTGATGCCTGCGAGGAATGCTGGTCTTAAGCTATGGGCAAACTAGGAAACGTTGCAGAAACATTTGTGATTCTCGATGTTTCCTCAGACGTTTCCCTGTTCGCCCACCCTGTTCGTCCACGCCTGTTCGTCCGCAACAACGTTTCCTAGTTTGCCCAGGACTTTAGTAGTAATCGCCCAGGAAAATTAAACAATCCAAAATGGCCACTATCGAAATTTTCTTGGCCATCAAGCCTTAAGACATCATTATGCATAAGGTCTATTGATTTGATATACAGACATTACAGTAAAGCCTCGCCCTCGCATAAAAGAACCAGTAGGTTAAGAACCACTAGCCTGAAATTTGGGCAATTGAGCACCCAAAAATACAATGTGTTGAATATAAAAAAGTATAGTGTGAAGTAAAACAATATACGAACCACTTCAGCCTGAAGTCAAAATTCACTGGTTCTTTTATACACGGCTTAATTACTGCATATCATATTCCCATAATTAAATAATAACAATATCAATAATCATTTTACTGTAATATAATAAATATATATATAACTATTTTTATTGACAATTTTCTAATTTACATACAACCTACATATTTGTAAAATTTGATATACAATACCTTGTTGGCTTGATCTTTTGACAGAATCAGTATAGAAGAGATGCAACTTTATTATTGCCAACCGTCGACGATTGTCGATTGCCCAGCTAGCAAGATCACAACCTCGCTAGTATAAAGTATAAAATATAGCTAGTTCACACATAGCTAGCAAGTTTGGTACAGTTACACAGAGTTCACAATTCACTGCTTTTTTGAAAAACATAATATGAACGGCTCCTTTCATTTTGACTTGATTTGACCAAATGATCGCCACGAACACACAACAAAATATACACCTAGAGGAGATAGAATTGGAATTTTTATAATGTATTTTTAATATAAAAACAGACTATCACGTTCATTTACATATATAAATGAAAGTATTCAAACGTTCAAATAACTATTTTTATCAACATACCTTCAAAAATATAATTCTTTTGATAGTTTTCCTCCAAAATCAAATAGTAATATTGTAAAATAAGCCTTGTGCAATGAAAAAATATGCGACATTGCCATATGGTCATGTCAAAATTAAATGTCATAGCTCCTATGAAGCTACGGCGCACCGAACGCAGCTTTCGGAAGTGATCGGATTGTCATCGTAAACTTCCTGCGTATATAAATTTGTACACAATGTCATTCGAATTCTGTGACGTCAGAAAATGCGACCCGAATGATCGAACGAACGAACGACAAACAAATCTCAAATGCTTTGGCTAAAATACATAAGTCGCGCGGGGATCTGGCACGAGTAAAAACTGTGAACGTTGTCAAGAATAGGTGGCTGCCATCGCTTCGCTCGGCAGCAAATACCTACCATCAGGCGGCAATCTTATATCAACACATTCTTCCTCAGACATTTTCCCCATGAAAGTGCCAGGGCAAAAACGTAACTTCACACAAAATTCAAAACGTTTGAAGGCATGAAGGCGTCCTGTAGGCAAGGTAACTGTATGACTCAAGGCTGTACTTTCACCACTTTCAAACTAGAAACAAGACATAATATATAACAGTTTTATTTCATGTAAGGACTAATGAAGCCCAGAGTAAATATATGCAATACATGGGATGGAGTTTAGGGTCTGGAATTTCCATAAAGCTAAGATAAAACCATTTGGACGTAAACAATACCAAATTTCACATTGTTTCAACATCATCTTCTAAATTGAAATTCTAATCTATATTCACTTAAAAGCATAACAACCAGAACGATGTTAGATACTAAACAAAATGTAAACAAACCACGCATCCACCCAACGGACTTGACCTCATCTTTAAGGTTTACATATGGTTAGGATTAGAATGAGGGTTAACTACAGTTGGATTAGACTTGTCAAACCCTACATAAACATTCTATAAAACCCAGATTACCTCGTCTCTCTTCTGTGATTCCAAAATTTCTGAAGCACGGTAGAAGTAACACAAGTTCAAATGATCGTCATCGTCATGGAACCAGCTTGCGAGGAGTGCTTCTCCTCCAGGTTGCATCTTCAGTGACAAATATTTGACTGGCTTCATTTGAATTTCTAAATACGTTAATTTACCCAATTTATTAACTGACTGGAGCGAGTGAGTTACAGACCATGCACCCAACCAATCGATAAACTGAATGACTACCAACCAATACAATGACTGGCTACAGTTGCCTCTGAGTAATTTTAGAAAATACAAAACAATGGACTGTGTGCCAGAATGGTCTGTGCCATACAGTGTAGGCATTGCCCATAATAACAAAGTTGTGGATTGATAGGGATTGATAGGGATGCAACTACCTGAAAAATATGCTTTATGGTCGTTTCGTCCATAGAGATTATAATCTTTATGGTTTCGTCCCCTTCACGTTTCGTCCCCAATACGGACGTCACCCGAAAATTGGTAGGACTAATTTTGGCGGCATTTTGCAACATAGCGCTCGTATAAGGAAGCAAAAAACTTAAAAAATCTTAGGTTTTGTCCTATATGTTGAAGATTACCACAAACTGACAAAAAAAAACAGTTTTTAGTCAAGCCCCCCTCGACGAACTGACGTCCTTGTTCACAAAACCATTGCGATCTTAAGCTCACTAAGTAATGGCAGTCATTCTGTCATTGGTCTAGTTTCAGACTCAAGTGTCACTACACTAGTCACTGCATGACAACAGCAATATTAATATTGTGAAATAAAAGCCAAATATTTAAGTTACATTTCAAAGTTTCGGAATTTAAATACAAAAATGTGTATTATCCAGGCATACAATCCACTGAGATACAATCTCAAAAAGTAAGATATATTGTATTAATTAAGGAAGTAGGTTTAAATAGATAAAACAGTATCTAGTTTGGGAAGGAAACGTGAAGGGGACGAAACGGCAAGGGGACGAAACGGCAAGGGGACGAAACGGCAAGGGGACGAAACGGCAAGGGGACGAA